GCATCGACAGTCCCCTTTGTGCTGCAGTCCCCTCCCCCCTCAGCTGCAGCAGGGGGCCCCCGGGGGCCCCCCCGCCCCCCTCAAGAAGGGGGCCCCCCGGGGCCCCCAGGGGCCCCAGGGGCCCCCTCAGCTGCGGAGGGTCTTCTGCATGCATGCGGCGGAGCCCAGAAGAAGCAGAAGAAGCTCCTAATGTATTCAAATACTGCTGCTGCTGCTGCTGCAGTTGCTGCTGCTGCTGCTGCTGCTGCTGCAGTTGCTGCTGCTGTTCAAGCGGGGTAGTAAGAGAGTTTCTGCTGCTGCGGCGGTGGCGGCGACGGCGCGTACCTTGTAGGTCGGTGATGTCTGCTGCTGCTGCTGCTGCTGCTGCTGCTGCTGCTGCTGATAGGGAACCCAGCTGCTGCTGCTGCTGCTGTTGCTGCTGCTGCTGCTGTGAGTGGGTAGAGAAAGAATCGTCAAAGTCTGCCAGCAGCTGCTGCTGCTGCTGCTCCAGCTGCTGCTGCTGCTGCTCAAGCTGCTGCAGCTGCTGCTGCGTGCTGCTGAGGATGGCGCTTGTATGTGACCATGGTTGTCGTGTTGCAGCATTTGTTGCTGCTGCTGCTGCTGCTGCTGTTGCTGCTGCTGCTGTTGCTGCTGCTGCTGTTGTTGCTGCTGTGCCCACTAAAGGAGATGCATACACCTCAGAGCTGTTGTGCGAGGAGGCCCCCCCTACAGTAGTAAAAGAAGCAAACCTGCTGCTGCTGCTGCTGCTGCTGCTGCTGCTGTTGTTTGCATGCGTTGCTGCTGCAGCAGGGATATCTCCTGCTCCTGCTGCTGTTGCTGCTGCGCCTATGCCGCTGAGGCCCCCATACAGAGACCCTAGGGGCCCCTCAGGGGCCCCCCCAAGGGGGCCCCCAGGGGGCCCCCCAAGGGGGCCCCCAAGGGGGCCCCCGGGGGCCCCCAAAGAAGATACATGCAGCTGCTTATCAAATCTGTCTGCTCTTGGGGGGGCCCCCGGGGCCCCTGTCTGCAGCTTTAGTGAGGAGAGAGATAGCTGCTGCTGCTGCTGCTGCTGCTGCTGCTGCAGCTGCTGCAGCGGCTGCTGCTGCTGGAAGCAAGAGAGAGGAGCCCGAGGATGAGCCGGGGAACGCAGAGAAGTGGTCGTCATCAGCAAACCCTAAACCCTAAACCCTAAACCCTAAACCCTAAACCCTAAACCCTAGACCCTGGAGAGGTGAGAGCCACCACCCTGATGCTGCTGCTGCAGCAGATTAAGGGTTTGTCTTTGGCCTCGCAGGAGTT